TGAAGAACACGGGCATTTGAAGCGAACTTTGTAGTCAAAGCAGATGTGTCGAAAATGCTGGTCCTTATTGCGGCAAATGAAGCCAATTTCAGTGTTGTAGCTGAAAGAAGAAGATCCTGAGTCAGCAGATTTATTTTTTATATAATGTCTCAGGTCCAAAAGATGTTTAAACAAGTTTTACTTTTGTACTTGTAAAGTTTTGAGTAAAACTTTAGCAATAACTGTTGAGTTGTGTCTGTTAGCAAAATATCTCATGGACCACTTATATGGCAACATCAGTGAAAAATTTATGTATCTGTTGTTGTTGTTGTTGTTGTTATTTATTAAAACACAACTCACGCATAGAATTTCTGGCCTGTCTTTTCTGCCGGGAAATCGTTGTCAGCTCGAACAGCCTGAATTTCTTGAGGTTTGCTACAGATTTCTCCTGGGAATTCTTCCCTCAGCTTCTCCAAAGTCTCAGCATCACCTGTAAACCTGGGGTGGTCTTCGTTGTACCAGTTGGTCCAGCATAATCGTTGTGCAGTAGCATTAGCAGCTGTCTGTGTAACTGGATCTGTAGCCGTGGCATCAAAACAGTTTTTCAAACAAAACCTTATGCAACGTGCATTTTTAAAATATGTTTTAAAACAGCATTAACAACATGTACTATTTAGGCAACTAAAACTTCAGGTTTGATGCTTTTTGAAAATTCAGGCAGAGTGACTTACCCTGATGACTTGGTTCTATGTAACCTGGTAAATAATCAGAATAATGCAAATTAGTGATTTTAATTAATTCCAAAAGAAATTAGATTTGTTAATAATGAAACTTGTTGCTGAGATGAACATACCGAGCAGCAAAACTGTAGCGATGGTAAAACTCAACTGGAAAAAATACATTTTTTTGTAAATTGTATGCACATTATACAGCATAATGTGAAATAATTTCTTATTTTGAATCAATAACAGCACATTTTATGTCTTACTTGCTTGATCATGATTGCAGAAACCAGAGGTCGATTTTGCTAAAAAAAATAATAAGGTGCAACACATGAGTCTTTTTTTCTTTTAACGCTTTACACAGATTGTTTGATTTGAAAGTCCAGTTTTTCTCTACAAAATTAAAAAGCAAAGAATTTTTGTTTTACCTGTGAAAACCAGAGGAGANTTGTCTCTACTCAGTTCGCTAGAGTTCAGATTTTCCTCCTCAGCCAGTTGAGTTGGCTTACATCACCTCCCCTCTAGACTCTGACAGTAAATCTCCATATATTCTGTACATTCACTAAAGTTTCACGGTCTGGATTGGCCACCCCATTAAGAATGTTCTGGAGGCACCACTAGTATCACTTTACCTAATCAGCATTAGTGGACTGATACATTCATAGCCTTGGTACCGATGGCATCACGCAAATAAAGACATCAAGAAATTTGTCTTTTGCTCATTTTTATTGGCTGTTGATTTATTTCATAGTTTAAAGAAAAAAGAAATCATAATTCTTTGAAAGAAACACATTTTCCCCACAGCACGATTAGTTGAAAAGGCATCAGGAACAAATAAGAAAGGATGCCTGGAACCGAGTGAAAGTATTAGGGTATATGTGTTTTTCATCAGTAACAAATCAGAGAAAATTAAAGGCAGAACATGATTATTTCCCCCTCCTTGGTCATTGGCAGCAGAGGATTCACTTGTCTGAAGAACACGGGCATTTGAAGCGAACTTTGTAGTCAAAGCAGATGTGTCGAAAATGCTGGTCCTTATTGCGGCAAATGAAGCCAATTTCA